TTTATACATACAGAGCAGGGGTACAGGTCAGAGGCGCAGGGGCAGTGAGAGATTTGCTAGAGACAGAGTAGGAAGCAGAACAGGCCAACTGATGAAGTACACTGCTGAGGGGAGCAGTGGGAGGGTCAGGAGAGGTCTGCAGCACCATTTGGATCACCTCTGGGTGGGAATCGAATCGAATTCATGCTGAAGTGACTTTAGCTTCTTAGTGCTGTGCTTTAACCTGCTGTGCCACCAGGGAGGGCCCTAGATTAACTTTTAATAAACTATTGATTCATACAGCATCCTTTGCTCTATCTTATCCACCATAATGTGCATATGTTAATGCTTTGGTGAAATCTTAGAGGCAGTAACATTGACCAAGTATTCCTTGTAGTGGTTAAGTCAGCAGTTAGCCATTGAATCCTGGCTCTACCACCCACTTTGTCATCATGGGCAAATTATGTAAGAATTTGTTCTTCAGGACCTCCCTTGTGGCATAGGGGTTAAGTCTCAGTGCTATCAAGCTACTGCCAGCCACTACAGCACAAGTTTGATCCCTGGCCAGGATGCTGACCCACATGGCTCAGCAGTCCTCTCTCCTGTCTTGCCTGCTGCTCCCCTCAGCAGTGTATTTCAGTAGATCTGTCCTCTGATCCCCACTGTGTCTCTGGTGAATCCTCTCACCTCCCAAGGACTACACCCCAGTTCCTCTATGCATAAATAAATAAAAATATTTAAAATAAATTTTGGTTCTTCAGTTTCTTACTCAATAAAATGGAGGTAATTACATTACCTACTTTATGTCTATAGTGCTTACAAATTAATCTCAAGTACATAGAACAAGGTCAATAAATGTTAGCCATTACTATAATTCTCATTATTTTAAAGTCATGAAAACAAGAAATAGATTAGTCTGGTATGCCTGTCTTTTGCATAGTTATCAGTTAATTTAATAATTCAAATCCTCACTCATGACTTGTCAAATTTAGCAGCCTATATGTTCTAATGTTAATTTATCTTCTCATTACATTATATTTTGGGGATTATATTGTTTTTAACACTAGATTTAAGATGTCACTTCTCATTAAAAAAAAAAAAAACAGAAATACATTTCATCTTTAATCACTCAGCACCTCCTAGTTCACCATGTTTCCTACCAACAGTCCTGAGAATAAGGAAGTTGAGCATACTCAACTTGACTTGAGATGTAATGGAGAAAAATAGTGGAACTCCCTAAGGTAGCACCTCACTTTGAGGTGCACGCTCTGTCTGTGTGTAGGAAATCAAGATTGTTGGGCACACCGTTTAAACAGAGCAGTTTGGGATCCTCTAGGCCTAGATTGAGAGGGGCACAGGGGCTGAGCTATCAGCACAGTTGTCCTTGAACAAACTAAGTTATTCTGGAACCTAGAATGAGCCAGCCAAGCAGATACGTCCAAGGAATTGGGATATATGCAGCAACTGAATCTGAACTCATTGTACAGCTGTCACCTATCTTACTAGTGATAGAATCCTAACATTAAGAAAGAACTTTTATACTAGTCCTGAGTTTTGAAAGCCAGTGGACCATGAAATAAAATCAGCCACATTTCATTTACTCTCCTTAGTGTTTTAAGGACTTTAGGTTAGGTGCACCTATTTAAAAATCTGAAGATTTTGCATAAAAACACTTTGCTTGGCTTGAAAAACAATGACATGGCCAGTATCTCCTTAGGACAATGATCAATTAAGGCTGAGTTGTAACTCTGCTATTAAAATATGTTGAACTCAACAAGACAATAACATTTGTAAACCTTGATAATATCCAACCAATTTATTCCACAGAGGAAGATGGAGTTTAAAAACACTTAGTCAAAATCAGAGGTTGGGTGTTGAGTGATCTTTGGTAAGCACTGCTGACCTTTCCCCTAGAAAATCGGAGATACAGAGACTTGTTTGTAAGTACCTTTCCAAGGAAGAACAAAACAGAACTAGGTCCTTTGCTTTTGTACCCACTACCCTCCATTTTCTTGGCTGGGTTGCAGAATGTTAGGGAAGGAAGACTGGCCAGCATTTTGAAGGTTACTGACCACACCCACAGTCTCAACTATCTGAGCTTTTACAAAGCACTGCACATTTTCAGCCTCCACAGATGCTCTCATATGCAGATGGCTTGTAAACAGACTGCTTTTTCCTTTCAATGGCCTGTTTTTCTACCCACACAGGTAGTTAGGGAACAATAGCCTCCATGGGACACTGATGTGGGAGGAGAGATTACAGAGAACAGTTAAATGACAGATGACAGGTCAGTAGGACCTCTGAACCCTTTCTCACTCTCATTCCAAAATACCAAATGGCTATGGCCATGACCTCTAAAAAAAAAAAAAAAAAGCGCAGGCTCTGCCCAGATTAACATAGCATGCTCTGGCCATTGTCCTCTAGAGTGTAGTGACAGTGACTTGTTAAAACCTATAGAATCTCTAGCTTAAATGGCTATATAGTATCAGCTTCATCATCCTCAGGTATAGGAATATTTTACCTAAAACAGTCCAGGGAGATATTTGGTTCTCTTTATATTTTGGAGATGCCAATTACAAAACTATAATCTGTGTAAGGAATCAAGATAGAAACTGCATGAGAAATGGAGCAGTAATAAGGGAACTATACACATGAGATCATTCTCTGTAAAGGTGGTAGGAAGATACAATTAAGAATGTCTTATTTACAGATAAGGATGGGAGAAAGTAGGTGCAAATGAACTGGGCTGGAGATGGTAAGGCTGAATAGTTTAGAAGATACTCAGAATAAGAGATAGAATTGTATAGAGAACAAAAACTGTCAAAGGGTACTGTTCAAGCATGCATCGCGTCAATGACAGTTGAAGCCAAAAAATTTGCCAAGGCTTGTCTCTGCCCTGCCAAGCATTTTGGATAGCTTCTCCATGTTTCCATGAAGACTGCTGCCAGGAACCAAGAGGCATAGAAGCAAATTCTCCTTTGTGCTTCCCTCTGGGCTAGAAATTTCTCTATAGCCTGTAGCTGGCATAAATTAGGGTGTTACAACCAAGTTTCCAATTTCATCAGTTCCCAAGTCACACATCTATTCGGTATAAGTCTATTGATCCTGGCTATTAAAGAGCCTCCAGGGAGCACAAATGAAATATTTGGCTTTTGGCTATAGTCAGAGGACTTTTCTGTTGTCCTTCAAGTAAGAGAGATCTATTCTTAGTGAGGCAGGAGACTCTTCCAGATGCACCATTTGGATTCTAATACTTTCCATGCTTACTGAATATAGCGATTATTTTCTCTCAGAACCAAGCCACAATGACAATAATCGCTGAGATGGCTGGCTAAATGTGCTTTTTATCTTTTAATTTTCAATCCTCACAGGAACTGAGGCTGTTCATGTCCTCAACTTTCTTAAAAGGGAACCTGAAACAGACTAGGCTATATGTAATAGGAAAACTAAAGCTCAAAAAGGGAAGCAACTAGTGTCTTACTCATTTGGGACATCAAAAAACTTTGGATTAAGACTGGGAGCTCTTCACAACAGGCATGAACTCTAAGTGCCAGCAAGCAATAAGTCAGACTTGAATGGCTACACCGAGAAAGCCTTGAAGATCTTTTGTTACTGTGTTGTCATTAATATGCAGAATTTGGTATCCACATTCAATGACCCCAGGCTAATAATTTGGTTCTAGAGAAGAATCTTTCAGAAATTGATCTCATAACAAGAAGACCCAACTCTTACTAATCTAATACTGGTTATCAGCTCAAAACACAGTTTTGAAGTACTAAGTTCTCACAAAGTGGTTGAGGAAATGTCAGTTCTCCCAATGAGGCAGTGTGTACTGGAGGAAACATTAGGAGGAAACAAGATGATTTGTGAAAAAAGTGGCCCGTGGAGGGAAGATGTCGTCAATAGTATTCATTAGCACTTCACCTGCAAGTTTAATAATCCATATCTGCCTTTGTACTTGAAACAAGTGTCTGTTTAGCTGTTATGGTCAGAGTCTAAGCAAAGGCTCTCACAGGTCAGAGCTTCTCCCTCTCCTACCACGCTTTTTCATTTGAAATCCCTGCCTCAAATTTCCACTTCCTGTATGGTGAGGTTTAAGTACCCACTGCACAGATATTTCAGTAGGTAACAATATAAACACTACTTAAAGGCATTGGAGACTGAATTAAAAAACAAACAAACAAACAAACAAAAAACAAACAAACAAAAAAATTTAGAGAGAAGCTGAAACTTAGAAGAAGGAAATGGCCCAAGGTAAGTTTCCTGTTTTTGTGACCTTTAGGTTGACAGAAAACTGTGGTATTTCCAGTTGAAGAGTCAGAGAAAAATAGCTGTTGGAAAGCAAGGGTGGGAGAAATCTCAAAGGAGAACCAAAGCAAGAGAATCCTGTATTTAGTGCATAAACTATCTGAATCTCTGCTACAGAGATGCAACCTGAAAAATGTATGTGTGGGACAGACTCCAGGAAAAGATAAAACAACTGAATTGGGATTGGAGCTGCCACTCAAAATCCAGCATGCAGGGTTAGCCCAATCGAGTTAAATATCTGCTATCACAAGTCAGAAAATAAGCACTCTTCAGAGACATATAGGACAATTCACAACATAAACATTGAGGATACAATCTAAAATTATTCAAAACATGAATAACCAGAAAAATAGGATTCATTCTCTAGAAAAAAAAAATGGAGATCAAAACCAGATTATTCAGATATTAGATTCAGACGAATTCTAAAACAATTGTAACTATATTTAAAGATGTAAATGAAAGCATGTTTGCAATGTATAAAAAATTAGCAGTGAAATAAGTATTAAAAGTAATCAAATGGAAATTCTACAATTGAAAGATAAAATATTAAAAATTAAAACTTTGTCTCTAATTGAGAAATATTCTTAATTAATTTCCTTTATATTAATATTCTTTGTTCACTGAAATAGAATCAATTTCCGAATGAAAAGAGACTGATAGGGCTTTCATACAAGAGAAAAATGAAATGGATAGATGCTGACGTTCTAATGACAAATGAGATAGGAGTTGGAAAATACTCATTCAAAAGTACGTCTGTTCAGTTGGAGATTTGTTTAAATTACTTTTATTTGTGTGCCAAAACTAAATTGTAAATTGCTTATCCACACTATAGGTAATTAAGTTTTGCTCTTTTGGAGACTGGACTAGCAGACAAAAATAAGTTTGCTGGGGAGCTTTTGCATACAGGTATTTGCATTTAGTGAGAACAGGAAGGACAGCTTTTCTGTCTGGGTTCCTGATATGCAACACCAGGACTGCTACTGATTCCTACATGGATCAAACTTTTCTTTTAGAAGGCAGAATACATGCTTTGAAATACTCTTGCCAGGCATCTAGAGGAAGCAAGCTACAGATAATATGAAGTGTTTTTATAAGGAGAAGTGATGTTCAGAGAAAGAGCATCAATGTTTGAAGTGGTTCTAACAATAGAATTACTAAGAGTATTTGGAAGCTATAATCCCAAGTCCATTCACACACTGATTTGTCTATGTTGTTCCCCAATTCTATGTGAGACATGTACTTCAGAAACAGAGACAAATTTAACCATAAAAGTTACGGGCACTCTCAAAAGCAGATGATGACTGCAAAGGACACAAATTGGTTCCTGGGTATCAGGATCCAAATCACCAGAAGTGAAAACAGTCACAACATATAAGGTTGCCAATAAGCTTTAAATTGTTAGTTTTAAAATGGAGATGATAGTTTCTTTGGGGGAAAGGAGTATATTTTAATTCAATTGTAACAAATAAACTGAATCCAAAATAAGAGAAGAAAAGCTCCCAGGATGTTCTTTGCAACTTTGTAAAGTGCACCAACTACATTAAGCTATCAATATTAAAATGAACCAATGACTGAGATATGACCTATTAGTCACTCAGAAACAAAGAAAAAAAGTAAAGCATTAAAACTCCTTTTTTATCATAGCTTTTTCCACAATAAACCTGACTACTACATCATCCAATGATGTCAAATTCTAGAAACTTTACAAAATTCCTCTTTTTAAAATTTATTTTTTGTTATCAAAGAGAATGTCCAGAAACATTGAGTACTAAAGAATTTTTTTTCATGGCATTGTTTTACAAAAGTTCCTAATGGAGTGTGAATATTTTATTTTGGATGTATCCTTCACTTATTAATGATGAAGTGGATGAACTGATGCAATTACTTAAAAAAAAAATCCAGACAAAAACATCCATTCTCATTCTGAATCTGTTGATTGGAGTAAATTCAGTGGTTACAATACCACCACCGGCTAAGAATCTACCTCCCTATAGTCGGGAGGTCGGGTCTCCTCATTAGGTCACATAGGTCTTTCGGGTATAGGCACCATGTTTTAAGTCTCACACAAAATGTCCGTGTCACTTAAATTCCATAATGTGGCAGTGTTTGTTTCATGGGGATAATCTTGAAAGAAGGGACAAACAGAAAACAACCTGTTTGCATGTTGTATGTGAGTACATTATTAAACTGTGCATGGGTTTGTGGGCACTGTAGCCCTTGTTAAAGAGGAATTCCACCGACAAAGCATCCATCAGTTCCCAGCTGTCCTTGTGCTAAGGGTGTCTACTCATTTAACCATGTCCTACTTCATCTACTGTTTGGCTCAAGTGGTTTAAAATGAGTTTGGTTGTCCATTTCATCCATCTCAGTTTTATTTCTCAGCCTCCGGATATGTGGGGTACTTGACTGTTTCTATCTTCTCTCGTACTTTGTAAGAAGGGTATAGGCCAGTCCGTCCCAGTTTTCTGTTGACACCTTTAGAATAGCCATCCCAATGATTTCCAGCCACACCAATGATATCTCCAGGTTCCATGGGGATTTCATCTGCAGTTCGAGGTTGGTGAGGATAAATGGCAATTTGGTTGTGGGCATTTTGTCCCCCAAAATAGTAGATGTCATCCAAAGAATGGAAGTTTGCAGAGGCATCAGGATGCAGTGTTTGCATGATTTCATAAGCTACTCGACAGACCTTGGGGATGAATGAAAAAAAGAAGCATTGTTAGTATTTATAAGATGTTCTTCATAGCAATCTGAAAGCCACTGGGCAAAGAGGTGAGGACTAGATTAGGATTTAGGCTTGAACTATAGATTGAGAAGTAGTGGGTTCTAGGTATAAGTTTTCAATTTGCTCTCAGATGATGGTACAAGTCATTCTTCATCTCCATGTATGTCTTTTTCTTTCTTTTTTAAAAATATTTATTTATTTATGCATACAGAACTGGGGTACAGGCCAGAAGTGCAAGGGTGGCCAGAGGCTTCACCAGAGACAGAGTAGGGAGCTGGACAGATAGATCGACAAAGTACACTGCTGAGGGGAGCAGCAGGCAAGACAGGAGAGGTCTGCTGCACCATGTGGATCACCTCCAGGGCAGGGAATCGAACTTGAACAGATGCATCCTAATCCTTTGCAACACTAGTGAGAGCTGTTAAGTCTTTTTCTTAAAACATAAAAGTTTATTACAATTAAGGTTGCTGGAAGTAAAAATATATAATACATAATACTTTAAGAATATGACTTCGTTAATTTTACTGAACATTTATTAGTTCTTCATGTTGGGTACTGGTGGCAAAAAAATGAGTAAGACACGGTTTGTGTCCTTGAAGATTTAGGATTATAAATATTTTACACGAATGTCCTCCTTTATTCAGTCACATATTCTTTTTTCCTAATTTGAATGTAGTTTCAGAACTCTTTTCAACAGAAATTCATGTAATTACTGACAATCAACGACCATTAGTAAATGAGCTAAAACATATTTGCCATTTCTGTTGTAAAGAGTTTTAAGTGTGCTGTGTAGATTACCGCATTCTAGGATTAAAATAAGATGGGCTAGCATTTGAGGAAGATAAATCTACCTGATGCACTTAAGACTACTTAAAAAAATTTCTCTGTTCAATGAATACCTACTTTGCTCACAGGATGGTAACAGCAACTTCAAAATCTGAGCATCACTCCTTGAGCTAAAAGCTTGATGTTACAGTTAAACTATACATCCTTGGGAGGATAACGTTTTAAGAATTTAGTAAATATATTCATTACAGGGTAAATGGGTTTCAGTGACTTTTCTAAGAATAAGAAAGACTGAAGAGGCAACTGTATCATTTTGCTTAGGAAATTCTTCTTTTATATATTGTGAAAGAGAACACAAGTCAATTTTTTCTTAAATTTCCAGTTGAGGTTATCTTAGTTACCCTATACAATGATTTTACATTTATTTATAATGAGACCAATAACTGTAATTGTCAATCTCCTCAGTGGAGCAATTTAGGATCATCCAAAAGTCCTTTAAAACTCTGGCATTTATAAAGATCAAAATGTTCAACTGTTATGAATGAATGGAATTACCTTAACTTCCTGAAGAATGTGAACTTTAGGAATAACAATTATACATATATCTGTATATACATATATGTATATATATATAATCTGTACATGAAACTACACTTAAACGGTATTTAATTTTGTAAATAGGGACTGAAATATAAGGACAGTAAGCAACATCTGTGCTTGTTGTTTTTGAAACACCAATTAAGCCATGCATTTTCCTTCTAGCATGGCATTCATTCTTCTATTACTGTTGTATTCCCATGAAAATGATAAGAGTTTTCCTTTACATATTTTATTTTCTCCTCTGAGCACTCAGACATATATGATTTATACTTCTCAGGAGTCATTCTCTTGTTATTTCATATCTGTGTATATATATAACTATGTGTATATTGAACCACTAAATTTTGGTTGTAAGGGTTATATTTACATTCTCCTTTGAAACTCCTTTTGTACCTAGTATAATTCTGAGCACAAAAAGATCACTTAAAAGTTTGTCAAATGGGGCCCCCCCCACCGGTGGCACAGTCCTTTAAAGCACAGCAAAAAGAAGCTTAAACCACTTCCGCATGAGTTCGATCCCCGCCTGCCCCGACGAGATCCACATGGCGCTGCAGACCTCTCCTGACCCTCCTGCTGCTCCCCTCAGCAGTGTACTTCATCGATCTGTCTGTTCTGTACCCCATTCTGTCTCTGGTGAATCCTCTCACCCTCCGCATCTCTGGCCTGTACCCCAGTTCTGTACGAATGAATAAATAAATCTTTAAAAAAAAAAAGTTTGTCAAATGAAGTAATATGCACATAAATGGGAAAGCAGAATAAAGTCCACAGTAAATACGGCTCTGCTAAAATTCCATGTAAATCTGACTGGATCACTCATCAAAACACATACACAAACCTATAACACAATTATTTGCAACAATTAAACTCAAAGAGTGGTTGTGATAAGGTAATACTTAAATTTAATGTATACTTTCTTGGTAGGAATGTAAAAGGACTTGAAGAGGAATTACATTTCCTTTCTTGCCTTTTTTTTTTAAGATGTATTTATTTATGCATACAGAACTGGGGTATACACCAGAGATGTGGGGGTGGTGAGAGGATTCAGAGTGGAGAGCAGAACAGGCAGATCCACAAAGTACGCCGCTGAAGGGAGCAACGGGCAGGTCAGGGGAGGTCTGCTTCGCGATGTGGATCACCTCCGGGGAGGGAATTGAGCTTGCACTGAAGTGGCTGGGGCCAGCTTGAAGTGCTATGTCCTAACCCTTTGTGCCACTAGGGAGAGCCTACTTTCTTGCTTTTTACAAAGCAATCAAGTGAGGCAAAGCTGGGTGTTCAATTCTCTCAGTACACTGACACTGAGACAATGATAGATAGGCATCAATGGATTCTGGTTACAGACAGACTGTATGCAAAAACAGAACAGTATTTACGCATAATTATTTCTTGTTTTTGTTAAGTACCATGAACAAGTCAAGTCTTATAAGTAAATCTAATAGCTGGCTTTAGTGGAGATATATATTCAACCACTGCTTGCAAAGAACTAAATATTCAACCACTGCTTGCAAAGAACTAAATATTCAGTGCACTCACATAGCACATTTTCCCAGAATCTTTACATTCTTTCACAAGAATCACGAAAAAAGGATCATGCCAAATGTTAGGAAAATTGTACCTGCGTCATGATAACTAACATAGAAATTACACATATACATACACACAGAACTCTAAGAACTTCTTGATCCAAACATGAGCAAAAAGTATTTGTCATTTAAAAATACTCTATTATCACTTACCTGGGATGAAAAAGTACACACTAGGAAGTCTGCCTGTGAGAGAAAGTGTATATCCAAGATCACACCCCGAAGTGAATTTTCTGTGTATCGATTGTGTAGTCCAGCTGACCAAGAGATTGAGTTATCACTAATAAATTCGTAATTGGGGTACCTGAAGAAAAAAAAGAAATTTATACATAGTCACTAAAATCACAGTATTCTATCAGTGTTCTATTATCAGGAAGCTGTTCTTGCACCTACTGCTTTGCCTATGAGTTACTATCAATAAGAAGAATTATTTATTTATTTATTTATTTATTTATTTATTTATTTATTTATTTATTTATTTATTTATTTATTTATGCATTACAAGCACTGCAGTACAGGCCAGAGGTCCAGGGAGTGAGAGGACTCACCAGAGACAGAGTGGGGAGCAAAACAGGCAGATCTACTGAAATATACTTTTGAGGGGAGCAGCAGGTGGGCCAGGAGAGGTCAGTCATGCTATGTGAGTCAACTCCCTGCACAGGGATCAAACTTGTGCTGCAGTGGCTGCCGACAGCTTCACAGTGCTACATTTTAACCCCTTGCACTACCAGGGAGGGCCCAGTAAGAAGAGTTTTAACTATGGCATTCAACAGAATAGTTGATGAAGCATCTTTGAATTTATCAGTGGGGCAGAAGCCATTCTGGAGAGCTCTATATGTTAACTGCTATTGGTAAGCATGTAAAATATACATACGTGCATCAAAATTAACTCATGACAGAATTCAAAACAGAAGGTTTCTTGTTTTCTTTATAATGAGTGAGGTCTAAGAGATTTTTCAAGCTGCATTCATATTTGATCACTGAGCTTTTCTTTCAGAATAGGAATGTCATGATTAAACATCATTTAAATTCTTAATTTAGAATTTGTAGTAATTCCTACTTACCTGCTCTAACTTCTTGAAATACTGCCTGAGTCAATAATAGTAATAGGATACTATTAAAAACACATTCATGAAGCAAATTCCTTGGACTGTCCACCAAGATTTTAGTAGTCTTGTCTAAGATATGTGTTTAAAAATATTAAAACATGAGATCTTTTAAAAGTCTACCATATGTTCAAATAATTCTACTCTGAGGTTTAATTATGTTTTAGTAAATTTTCTCAGTGTGTGAGGTAGATCTTCAAAGTTGAGCTGCAAATTTGGGGGAGTCATATCTAATGGGGTAACTTATCTACTTTATACAGTTTTGTAAGAATTAAATACCTTAAAATGCTTAGAAGAGTACCTTACATATTACAAATGCTCAGTTAATATTAGCTGTCATTGGTAAAGATGATCTTCCCCCAGATCGCCTATCTGTTTTTATTCCTTATGTAACTGGGTGGTCCCTAGGAAAAGGGGAAGTTCCAGGTTCCCTGCCCCACCCAGATGTAGGGTGGAGCTGAGGAGAGGAAAAAAAAGAGAAGAAATCTGGGAGAAGAAGGAAGCAGGATGGAGAGCCAGAAGGAGACCTGAAAAAGCCACATGGAGCAGCAAGCATGTGAGGAAGAAACCATGCTTGTTTCCTGACCCTGGACTGGTTAAGGCAGATGTGGGCGAGATACCTGTAGGAAGGTGACTGTGGCAGTGTTTATATTGATTTTGATTTTGCTCTTTTCATCCCAGACTTGTCTGACCATTTCTGACCCTTTTCTATGGGTCCCGCCAGAAGGTGCTTTAGTCTTGTGGTAGGTTTTCAGGCCTTGCTTTGGGCCAACCCCCTTTGGGCTGACTTTTGCTCATGAGGGGATGGGTAACTTCAGGTGTTTGATTTAGAAATTATATTCTTTGTGTTCTGTATTGTATGTTCACTGTATTAAAGTCCCTTTTCATTAAAGTTTTATATGTTTTTTCTTGATGCGGTGAATGGCAGAACCGATTTGGAGCAGGCAGGTTTGGGGGTTCAGCGGTGCCCCTCTCCCCTTGTCCTGTAACACTTACACATCTCTGCTCAAATATTACCTTACTAGTGAGGAGTCTGACAATCTCTACCCCCCTTACCTGCTTAATTTTTTCTGCATGGCTCTTATGATTTGACATAACATAATTTGACTATTTATTCCCTACCTCCACCATCCCTAACTGAAATGTTTGCTCTATAAAGAACGGCATTTCAACTGCTTTGTTCACTCTATTATTCTCAGCACCTAAAAGAGAATCTGGAATATAATAGAGGATCAATAAATACTTATTGAAAGAATAATAGTACCTACTTATAGGCCCTGAAACATCCAAAATCAGTTTTCAGCAGGTCTTTAAATAACATTTCATTCAATCTTGTAAGGGGACTGGTAAGAGGAAAGAGAGTCTTCTGGCTGAGGTCACTGTCTGTGTGGAGTCTGCACATGCTTCCTGTCCTTGGGTTTTCTTTGGCTATTTCGGCTTCATTCAACACCCTGAAGATGCACTGGCTGAGTTCACTAGTCTAACTCTTCCACACTGAATGAGTGTAGGTGAGTATACCCTGTAGTGGCAGGATGCCCTGTCCAGGGCTGTAAGGACACGTTCCATCTACCCATAACCTCAAACTGGAATAAGTGAGCTGGAAAATGAACAGATGAGTGAACGGATGCAACTGGCTGCTCTATACCAGAAATGTTTCATTTTTTTATTTTTAGAACAATGAAAATCTATTATTTTTTGTGTAAGAAAGTTTCTTAAATGTGGGTTTTTCTTTTTAAAGTAACACTGGGTTTCAACCCTGCAAATGATTCCAAGGTATAGACAAGATGACACGTCTTCAGATATGGTGTGTTTTAGACTTTTATTTAGAAGTTTATTAATGTTTTAGTGGCCAAGAATATGCTGTAGGAACTTAACTCTTGTTTATATCAATTAGCTTACAGTGAAATTGGCTTCTCTGTATGTAGCTTGTTTAAAGTTGCAGTTTCCAAGAATCTACTGATGACATTAAATGAAGACTTACTGAAGGTGTTAATCTTCCACACAACATTCCCTCAAAGTTTGAACTATGCCTTACCTTCTCTTTGAATTACAGCTTCTAGCATTCCACACAATATTATGTGACTAAGTCTGGAAATTGTTTCTAATCTCCTAACAGCTGCTTCAGATTTGTCTGCATTACACAGCCACAGGAGTGTTCCCTCATGGCCTCCAGCAATGACCGTGAAGGCAGAGGCCCTAAGCACTGTTTCGGACTGGCTTTCAGTGTCAAGTCCACTGGCCTCATCATCAGTTTTGCTCTCCTCAGTTCCAAAATCAGGGAGAAGAAGGAAATGTCCTTTCAGGAAGGAATCTATCCTAAAAGGAAAACCACCAAAAGCCTTTTAAATGTGATTCTTGTAAATTGGCATATCCCCCAGGCATGCGGCAGAAACAAATAAATCTAAAAGGCTGGAGGGTAAAGGAGAAGGGAAACCAGTGTAGGTTTTGTCTGTGAACAAAGACATGTCAGTATGGTTTGGGTCTTCAGTGAAAAAAGGAAAGGAGTGACCCATTTATGGAGAATGACAGTACCATTATTGTATTCTCTAATTTAAAATCCCCTCTCTGGAACCAAATCAAAAGGTCACCTCAGTTGCTCAGGTCTTACCTCCATCAGCAAAAGGCCACTTGATGAAGGATAAAAAGAGTGGAAAAACAAACATGATGAGGATGCTTGATGGGAGAGGGAGATCTTGTAGCTCTAACGTGGACCTTCCTACACAAGCATGCTTGTTTCTTGGCTTTTTTTTTCCCACAAGTATTTTTACGGAAAATTCTGCTACTGAAAGGTTGCAGTGATTGGCAATGATTAAAAGTTCTTTTTTCTTCTTTTTATGTCACCCACAAAGGACTAACTTGAAGTTATAAACTAACACAAAATTTTCTTTTCTGAAGTTCTTCTCCAGACAGAAGGGACTAATCTTCTCCAGGATTTTAGAGAAACTGGTAGACAACTACTTCAGGATTATCTATCTATACGATATTTACGTGTAAGGTTACACACCACTAACTTGATACTCTCTAAAATTAGGAGTCATACATTATCTTTTATTTCTTTTTGTATTCCGAGTGTTGTGTTCTACACCTAGAATATTGTCGTTCAATAAATCAGTGAATAAATTTCCCACAGTATATTGTGGATTCTTTATTTCACAGGGCAACCAAACATTTGTGACAGTTTTCTTTTTGCACTACTGAACCTAATTTTAGGAAGCATTATTCCAGCATGTTTGACAAAGAGAAAACTAAATGTGTACATATTAAATCAGAGCAAGTTTTAAAGGCTTATTTTTCCTTCTGTTTGACCCCTATCGCCAAGCTCCACAATCTTAGAATATTGCATAGACAACTTTAGTAAGTTCTTATTTCCTTGACCTCCATTGATTCTGTTATTTAAGCAAAACTAATAGTGAATTGCCTAACAGAGATATATTCATGTTAGGAATGGCTGCCATATTCACTGGGATGCTGGTACTAAAATCTCATGATGAACTCCATCGTCATTTGGAGGTATGACCTCTAAATGAACGGAGGTGTGACAATAAGCAGCAAAGCCTTGACTGGTCATCTTCACACAGAAATCACATATATCAAGTTTATCTTGATCCCTTTTATAAAAGATAACAGACAAAAAATGTATTATTCTTTGACTATGAGAATCCTATGAGTTATGTCAAATAATTCTTTATCTTCTCACCTTCTTGAAGCAAAAATGTCTCGAATGACCTCAGATATTTTGTATCTTGCTAAGAGATTAATTCATGCTTTTGGTCTCCCAAAACAATGACACAGTTTTATGGTTTCTTTAGGTACCAAGCCAATTCTGAGAGGCATAAAACATTTAATTTAGAGTAGGAAACTATGCAAAATAATGGAGAGAAACAGCATTTAAATTCCAGAGAAGACCTTTAAAGTGACTCAGAAAGTCAGACATAAAAAGGATATCCAGAAAAGGGAAAACTATGCATAAAATGTTACTACTACATTTATAACAAAACATGGGAAACTATTGACCGGACTTCCCTGACAAGAGGAGTTACTGGCTGCTGACCACAGAGGAAGCTCAAGCTTTAGTGTTCACCCACTCCAAGTAGATACTACTGCCAACTGCAATGTAAGGGTAACTTGGTGTAAAAACATGCTTTATATCTTTGATCTAAAGTGTTCAGCTTCTTTTATATAAATACTCCCAAAGTTAAGAAATCTAGTTTACAGAAATATCATAGATAACTTCAGGTACACATTATAGCATTATTTATAAAACTAACGAAAAAGAAATAACCAAATTCCTCAATAGGAGAGATGGTCAAGCAAGCAATAGCGTATCCCTACACAGGCTTTGTAGTCATTAAAAAAGATAATGACAATGATTTCTTTTTTGGCCTAGGAATAAATTTGTATATTAAGAAAGTTTAAATTATATAGAATATGATCAACTATTAAAAATGTGTAACTATATGAATGTCTGAAAGGAATGTGTCACTATGTAAACAATTATGGCCAGTGAATAATGGAATAGTGGTTAACATATTTAACTTGATTTAATACCTATAAACTTTCACATTTCCTAATATTCATTAATTAGCTTACTAATCAAGGAAAAAGAAAAAAAGGGAAAAAAGTTGTGATACATTCAAGAACAGATAAAATTAATATTTTTTCAACCTAGCTGCAAGTTTAGCCCAGTATTTTAAATTGAAAGAGCACAATAAACCATTTCTACTTTGTAATAGGTCTGATCAAATTGGAAATATACTCTCGAATTGTTTTATTATGTTTTGTACCCAAATATTAATAAGACTTACATGTAAGATTTTTACTTTACACAAGAATTATAAGTATGTAACAATTTATACTTGGTTACTTGGCTATAAATTTCTTAGTCCTTTATTGGGTGGGTGAGTGTATGTGTGTGAAGGAAAGAAAAAACAATTTATATGGAGTGAATCTGGGCTCTTAGGAGGTAGAAATACGATTTAAATTACTATCCAATGATTTGGATAATACATGTACTAGAGTATTCGTTCTAACTTTGTTTTTCCTCCACATCCCCATTTGTCACAAAAAAAGGAACCAAGAGACAAACTAATTAGTCAAATAGCTTAAATAATTAACTAATAAAGTATTTTCAATTTGGTAGGACTGAAAAAAACTTAAGTTAATATTTATTGGGCACTTACCAGAATTAAGCACTGTCTAAAGTGTTTATAATCTAGTGAGGAAGACAGAAGTAAGCTAGTGCTAACCACTAAGACAGTGGAGGGACACTTAGTCAAAGAGTTACTCATGATTTCTGAGTAGAGCTAAGCTCACAATTTTATATTCTTCATTTCCTACTTTCACATACAGCTAAGGTTGCTATTAAATCAAGGCCAATTCTAGGTTCAATCCTAATTCTATGATAAATTCCCAACTAGGAACAGTGGTTTATTATATGTTCTCAACACACCTTATGTTAACTCTATAGCAGCATTACTCATACTGTAGAATAACTGTTTCACAAATAGACTGGGAATTCCTTAAAAGCAAAGTGTCTCACTTATAGAACCTCAGCACCTAGCACAATGCCTGAAATATAGGCAAACTCAATGAATAATGGTTCCTTTTCAATACAGACTCTGCAATCCTTATTCTTCCACTTACAAGACTCATCTTTTGATATTTTACTTTTCTTTATTATAACTTACAAATTCCAGAAGTCTTTATAAGATAAAAAGCATCTCTCATGCATGTTTTGAGTTGCTCATAATTACTGGTGAAGATGGTCACCAATAATTGTCGAAGGGCAATACCTAGTGTGTTTTATTGCTAACAGATGCATACAGTTGGTTAGTATTGTGAACAGAATGTTTGTGTCTCCACAGAATATATACGCTGATGTTCTAACTCCCAATATGATGATATTTAGAGATGGCCATAAAAGTGGAGGTGTCATGATAGAATTAGAGCCTTTACAAAAATAGCTTGATTGATATCTCTTCTCCAAATATGAAGAAAAGAGGTCAGATGAGCACATAGCAAGATGGGAGCTGCCTACAAGGCAAGAGAAGAGGGTTCAAAGTGTAATACGTACCTTTTAGACAATTCAAAGATGCTTTGATTATATGAATGGTTACATAAGTACACAGTTGTTATTATAAAAAAAAACTTAATAATCAATAATAATGAAACAAGAATCACAAGTCATATAAGTTAAGGATTCAACTGCAAAGAGGAAATTGTACTCCAGAATCACTAGTTCTTCTAACTTACTTTGTTTTTGCCTCCTTTAATAAAGAAGGGTCATCTGTAGCCAAATATACTCTTTTTTTGTCCACTTGCATTCTCCGAGCGAGAAGCTGAAAATGTTCTTCAACGTGTACCATATATTCCTCAATGGGATGGAAGGCGGCTTCTGTTCCCACTTTGTCTGTACGTCTGACATGGACTCTGGGGGGAGGCAGAGGGAGAAAGTCAGATTCTCTGGATAACAATCTATCTATTGGGTGCTTTCAGGGTGCTTAACTTTATACCCTTATTCATGTTGGTATTGTGGGCATTCTAAATAGAATTTTCTTTCATTTTTACCCTTAGAAAAAGAAAACAAAAATAAAAAACTGCAAATATATATATGTAAATATTATAAATATATTTGCATGCTAACAAATATAAAGGCAATTAGAAATAAAGTTTTTGAAGAAGGTTTTCTTATAAATAAAATAATTGGCATAGAGGGAATACATGGAAGGGTCAGACTTCTTCTCATACTTGGCAATGAAATACCAACCAGCTTTCCAGAAAATATAATGGATATAACTTTTAAGATTTTTTGATAGCAATTGATATCTAGATTCATAGTTGCTATTTTTTTGAAAGATTTTATTTATTTTTGTGTAGAAGAACTGGGGTATATGCCATAGGTGCTGGGGGTGAGAGGATTACCAGAGACAGAATGGGGAACAGAGCAGTTACATTTACTGAAACATTGCATGGGGAGCATGGATGAGACAGAAGAGGTCTGCTACAACACATGTGGGTCAGCATCCTGGCTGGGGATCGAACTCAGGCAGTAGCAGTGATAGTCTGAAACTTAACCCTTCAGCCACGAGGGAGACCCCATTGTTGCTATTATAGAACATTACAAATACTACTTGTAACAATATGCTATCACTTTTTCCTTTTCCTTATTTTACCTATTATAGTTACTTTAACTATGGGATTTAATGTCTGAGTAAAACATTAACCTGCAAAGATTTTCTGATACAAAACCAGGCCAGGGCAAATCTTTTAAAAATTTTTAGTATTTTAAGTTTGTGTGGCTATTTCATTCCTCTTGTATGCATAGTAATTTTCCTCTCTCTGTTTTCCACTCTACCAAACACAAGCAGATACTGATCTCATTGTCCTTTTTAAAGAAAGGCTTCAAAATTATAAAACGGGGGACATAGATTTATACTTCCTGAACAGAATAAAGCACTATTGTCCTTCCTTTGTAAAATAATTATTCCCCAATTACTAACCACGCTTCATACGTGAAACAAAGAGAAAAAGTAGATTTATTTCCCATTAGGTCACAATACAAAGGAATATTTAGGTGAAGCCTAAGGTCAAGTTTTCATTCTGCACCTGGAGTGAAGGTTTGATTTCACTGGTGGCACTCTGATATCTTCATGACTATTCTTTGTATTCCAGAATACAGTACAGATGTGAATATTATCTTTTGAACACCTATCATATTTCCTTCCTACATCCTGCTTCTCTCAGGAAATTGGAAGTACCACTGTGCTCCACAGACATGAAGGGGAATTCAGTGTAAAGTTCCATGAGAAGAAACACTATCCAATTTCAAAAGGTACTTTCTGTAGCTCTAGCAGTTAGAATAGGGGTCAGAAATTTCTAAATGTCTGAAGACTAAGACACAAGGGAAGATGTGGGATGGGAAATATAAAAATAAAAATTATGGAGAGTTAGAATAATGGAAGAATCAAAGGAAAAGGAGCCTTTTAGACAGTGGCAGAGTGTGTAAGGGTAGGGGACCCTAGTTGCACCAAAACAATGACTGTGTGAATCTATCTATCTGCTTATAATTCTCCAAGCAGTTCTGAAATTAAGGCTGGGTCAGCAATTTATAAGGATTATAATGGGAAAGCCAGAATGGTAGGCCTGTGAAGACTATTAGAAGTCATTTAATTTAACTAACTCTTTTTGTCTGACAGCTAAGGAAACTGAGGTTTCTGCAGGCATGTCAGTGAATAAAAGAAGATAACAGAGGTAAGGAGGCTAGTTTCTCTACATACATTTCAACTTAGTCTTCATAGAAGTATGTTATTTGTATACTACCTGATTTTTTCTACTGTTGATAGATATCAAAATTCCTTCCTTTGCTGTAAGGAATCCCAGTCACACCAAAAGTAGTAAATATATGAATGGGTAGCAAAAAGCATTCAATTGTTATTAGTAGAAAACTTTTATCATGTAACGTGGTTTACAAAGGTATCTAGTCCTGCATTACATTTAATTTTGTAAGGAAAAAGTCAGATTCTTACCCAATAACTGGATGTTTGAAGCCAAGTTTCTTGGTGGCCTCCTCTATTTCTTTTTCCAGCCATGGTTGTGGGCGGATCAAGTATTTGACAAACTGGGACACCCACCACACTGCAGGATCGCCATGGACTCGTACAAGTCGATCTGCAAGGTCTTCTGGTACAGCCAGGGGTAAATATGGAGGACGAGGATGAAGGCTGTCTACAATGGGGAGCTCGACCACCTGAACATTTTTGTCCTTAACTTCACCTAAAAGAATATCAAAACATATCATTTTAATATTGTATCCCCTATACAACTATGTTTAACAAGAACTCATTCTGTTACTTTTATCCACATAGCAATTTTAAAGAAGTATTGTTAATTTTCACATTATAAAGGAAGTTAAGTATCTTGCTCAAGGTACCAGCTATAAAAATGAGAGTTGAATTCTACCATCAGCCTGGTCTGCCTCTCAAGGCCATGGCCTCTTGCTCTTCTATTATATACTGGCAGATCAGTACCTCACAGCCAGGTAAGGAAGATATCTAGCATGCAAAATATTTAACCAGAGAATAACCATTACTGATAGTGAACAGGCAAAGAGCTATTTTTTTTGTAATTGTTGCTGAATTAGACAATAAAATGGTCTCTTAACTTTCAGCTTGTTATTGCAATGGCATTACTTTCATGACAGAGTACAATGACTCTAGAAATCCCTTGGGATTACAATTATGGAAATATCCATATCTTTTGAAGAAAAAAAATTCAATGACTGGGGTAGATCTAATTTGGTCTCAGTTTTGATAATAATAGAAAGTGTGCTGCTTGTTGACCTGGATATTAATTTAAAGTTACATACTAAATTTCTAGATGATTAGTTTTAGAATCCAGCTTCTATATATCATTAATGCGGTTGCTGTTCTATCAACTTTATAAAGCAATGAGAAGAGAAAACTAAAATGTGATAATCAGTACCCTTAAAGATTACATAATAAAGACCACCTAGTAATGGAGTAATAGCCAGAAAATAAAAAGAAACCAAGCAGAGAGACTTCATTAATATAAAATGTACTGAATCAAGTTTTCCATAACGGAATATATTAACCTGAATATACAAATAACTCTAGTTAAGATACTGTCATAATGAATAATAAATTAGAAACACGGCTGATCACTGGACCATTAAAAAAAATCTGCACTTTAGAGAATAAATCTAGAATCAATTTAAAATACATTCAACAGAATGAAATATGACCCTCAAATTCTGCATATATACAACATGTTTTAATATAAATTACATAATATGAGAATGTAACCACTCAAGCCATTACACAGTTGTTAGAAAGTCAGCTGGTATTAAAAGGTCTAGTTAATAGTCTGTCTCTCTGATATATAAAACTCACTTCAGGTTTCTTAAAATGTGACACCAAATAAATAGCAATAAAAAAAATTTGACCACTCCTACTATAGTTCATGTAAGGTGCCAATTACAAAGGAGTTGGGAACCTTTACCAGGTGAGACACTGTAATCAAGAGTATGTGGGAAAGTATTAATGTAAACTAATTTACATTAAGCTCTAATGGTGCCTTGAAGGCACGAAAAATTGTGGTGCTTTCCCTGATGTAAAGGTAAGTAGTATATGTGTGGAAAGGAAAAAGGGATAGAGGAAGGTAGGGTTCTTTCCCCCCCTGTATAAAAACAAAGAGAAAGAAAAGAAGTCTAGTTTCTCATAGGTGACCATGAACAAAAACAAAATTAAAAAGTCTACTTCTTTCTGATTTCTTCCAAACAAGGTTATGCTAAATGTTCAGTGAAACTAGCTCCCTAATTTACCGAAGGCCTCCACTTCCTTATAGCTAGCTTTGCCCACAGATTTTAAAAAAACTGGAAGCCATATCTTTCAGACAGATATGTCTACTTATCTTTATTGCTTCTGGGTGATTCATTCACTTGTTTAAGCTATTTATTTATTAATTCTGCAATGATCCCAGCAGTGTGCTGCAGAGAACTCAGTGGTTACATAGAAGGTACCTCTCTGGTTTCTAGTTCAAAAACCTCACACAGAACTAGACTGCTTTTAGTGAAAGCAACAAACATTTCATCTAAAGGTATCAACATTTGATACCTTTAGATGAAAGGATATTTATCATGACAGATGGAAAAAGTGGCACAGAATAAGTTTAGCTTCCTCAGTAACACTATATTTCAAAGTGAAGAATAAACAGTACATGATATGGTCAAAGGTCCCTTCTTATTTATCATGTTTTTATTTGATTGTACTATCTTACTATCTAGTATTTTAAAATTCACCTTTTTTAAAACTTAATTTACTTTGTACATGGTAATTATAAATATAATTTTGCTGCAAACAAAACCATGTAATTAAATTTAAAAGAATTTAAATCTGGAACAGACACTGGACATTATCTTTTTTAGTTTTCTAAACTTTAGTCATTTGTGCATTGTCTTTATAATTCATACCATATATTTATACTATCTGTATTAGTGAATGCTTTAAAAGTTTATTCTTTAAAATGTGAATTATTTTACAGAGGGTAACTATAAATATAACTTCAATGAAAACAAATTTATGTTATTAAATTTTATATAAATACTATTGATTGTATGGGGTTCTGAGTTCAAATCAGATTTCTGTATAATGGTGTAAAAACTGCATTTCCTCTTATATCTCCTACAAGTTTGAAAGAGAGAAATAAGATGGCTGTTAAAATGTCAGCTTGATTACCGATAAGGATAAGTTGGAGAATGTGGTGTTGTACGCTTGACTTATGGACAATTAGCTTCCTGACAGTAGAGCCCAGTCCTGAGCAGTGTTTGTCAGCCAAGCTCCTCTACAAATCGGAGGAAGAGAGCATGCCTTCTCAGAATGCCCCGCACATGGGAGAAGCCAGATTATATGTTGGGTTCCTCTTCTCACACTAAGCAGTTGTGTAATACATTATTGCCCTTCCAAGTGTTTCTGGGGGAAAAAATGGGAAAAGCACAGTTCTGAAAGCTCACAAGAAGAGGTTGCTGGCATCATATAGTGCCTAGAACAAAATCAACTACTACTTATTGCTGGAAATCAGGGTCCCCAAGTTTCCCTTGATCTGAAAAAAGGACTACTCCAAAAACAAAGATAGGGACCTCATGAGTCCCTTCTTAAACTGAGTAAATAAGGAGTGAGCAAATCTCAAGTGTCAGCACCCATCAATCCAGCCACAATCACAACACCCTTGTGGAGGTCTGGTACAGCTGACACCAGTTCCAGGAAAATCAAGAGGCACACCTAGTAGAGGTGCCAGCAACAGCAGCACTACAGTGTCACAGCACATCAGACAAATTAGAAGACAAACCTCAAGGAGATGGAGAAACACAAACTAAAAAGTCCTTAGAGGGGCTCACCACAAAGGGAAAAACAAAAACCAGAACATAGTAACAATGCCGTAGAGGATCTCCACAACCTATAAGAGAAAGAATTTAAAACTACCATGATCAAAACACTGAAAGCAGTCATAAAGGGGGAAAATGGTATGAAGAAAATAATTAAGGAGCAGTAGAATGAAATGGAGTCCCTAAAGAAGGAAATAGATGAAATGCAAGAAATTAAAAAATCAAAACAGAGGAGCTAAAGAATCCTGGGAAAAGCAATGAAGACAGAACAGATGAAATGGAAGAATGAATCAGTATTCTCAAAGATACAGAAATAAAAATAATCAAGACAGAAAAGAAAAGAGAAGTACACAGGGGGAAAAAATGAACAAACAATGCAAGAAATATGTGACTCTATGAGGAAAGGAAATGTACAAATTACAGGAATATCAGAAGAAGAGGAGAGAAATAGAGAGAGAGAAAATACTTGAGGAGGTAATCAAAGAGAATTTCCCAAACATGAAGGAGATGAAACTAGATATACAAGAAGCAAGAACACCATCTAACTTTCACGATGAAAGGAAAAATACAGCAAGACACATAATAGTAAAGCTCTCAAGAATCCAAGACAAAGAAAAATAATGAAGCTGACAAGAGGGAAAAAACAGATAACATACAAGGAAAAACAATCAGAATGACATCAGACTCCTCTGAAGAAACATTATGAGCAAGAAGAAAGTGGAAGAATATATTCAACAAACACCAAGACAACAAATGTCAACCAGAATACTTTATCTTGCAAAGATTTCTTTCTTCTATGAAGAAAAAATAAGGACCTTCTCAGACAAACGGAAACTCAAAGAGATTCTTTATTACTAAATACCTACTCCAAAAATATGAAGCCCTGAAGCTAGAACAAACAAATGAATGAGTAAGAGTAGATTAAGGCAAGGAATAAATCCACAAAAGGAAACAAAATGACAAACACATAGCCAATGTATCAATACTAACCCTAAATGTAAATGGTCTCAACTCAGCAATAAAAAGACACAGAGTAGCAGGGGACAGAGCAGGATCAGAAGGAGGGAGGAATATGAGGGGTTATGGTGTCCACTGGAGGGAAGGGGAGAAGTAAACATTGTTATAAAATGAACAAGAGTGTAATAGATATATAAAAAATAAGTTAAAAAAATTAAAATAGAAATACCATTCAATCCAGGTAGTATCCCATCCTTGGGCATATAGCCACTGAATATGAAGTCATCATTAACACCCCCAACCCCCTCAAAAAAAAAACAACTATATATTCTAAAATATTCACAACAGTGTTATTTACAATTAGAGGACATGGAAGCAGCATAAATTTCCTTCAATGGATGAATGGACCAAAAAGATGTGATTCATACATACGGTAGAATATTATATAGCCATAAGGATGAGGTATAGTCATTTTAAACAAAATGGAGGGAGTTTAGAAAAATAGTTACATGCAGCAAAGTAGGAATAAAGATAAATAATAAATAAATAAATGGAAAACTGAAATTAACCAGCAACTATAAATCAGAGACATTCTGCATGGGAGGGGGAAGAAAGGGATCAAAACGAGGAAGGGAAAATGGTGGTGCATGGATGAATTGGTGGTGAGAATTTTATGGGGGCTATATCTGAGAGGAGAAAGCATAAATTGTACAAAAATGAACAATTATATAAAATATACATAAATAAGACTTTAATGTTGCTTTTTTTTCTTTAAAAAAAAAAAGGCACCACAGGAATCTTTCAGCAAGAGAATGTTATAAGTCATATACAAGCCAGCACTATTCCTTTGCAAAGGATCAGTGCAAACTGATTCTTTGGCCTAGGATTTCCCTGTATTTGAGCCCGGGTTTTTGTA